GGTTTGGGGGCAGGAAGAGAAGAAGAAACGAAAGAAAAATAAAACCAGCCTGTGGAATCTGAGGAAGCAAGAATAGGAAACTGCCTAGTATTGCCTAAATCCGCCCCTGTTTAGAGCCACACCAGAAGGTCAAGGAACTGAAATAAAGGGATCAGAGTGGAAGATTATTTCCTCTTTGTGAGTCAGACCAGAGCAGATGCAGCTGTTTCATGGAGAACGAAATGTTTGGATAGAAGGAGGTCGTCTGGGGATTCGGTCCCTCGGTAAAACCCTCGGTGCACGCTGTCTCCTAACGGGAACACGAGCACAAACAGCCAGTTTAGGCATAAAATAGAGAAAACCGACCAGTTTTATCAAAGCTCCACACACCATATTTATTTATTAGAATTTATGAATTCTTCAATTTATTGGTTTATCTAATGTTCAAATTATGTATTTAATAAATAAATGTTACATCTGGTTATTTCATTATTGATTTCCTTTTATGATTTAACCCGTTCATCCGTTTCTATTTGCATGTTTTCTAATCAAAAACCAGGCTTTGTTGGGCTGCTGGATAAAACCTGGAACTAAACGCTATTTCTGACATTTTGATTTTAAAAAAGTTTCCTGGATGGAAGAGAAACGTCTTCAAACTTGGAAACAAAGTCCAGAGGATTGATTTTTAACTTTGTTGGAATGACTCTGACCTTGATGACTGAGAATCTTCACCAGAAGATGCAATAGAAAATGAAGTCTTAGGAAGTTATCATCCAGAATTTTAGAAACATTTTCCTTTAATAGAGTAGAGCAGTAAAGCTTCTGGCCTTAACAGTTTATCCTGCTTTTTTAAAAATGCTACTTTTACACTTTTACTGGAGTAAAAAGCTGAAGTTGATCCTCTAGAAATTATAAAACAGTTTTAATCAGTTGCATTTATACTTGAGTTATAAACAAAAATACTTTAATGTTTTCCCTCTGTTAAAAAAAAACAACAAATTACATTAAATCAGTCAGTATTAATGCAAAAACAAAGATTTTACGCTTTTCTTTTTTTGTCTCTGTGCTGCTTCGTACTTGAAATGATAATTTCATGTCTTTCATTATTGTTTATCTCTTGTTTACGCTCTCAGAAGCTGCTTAATGTCCCCAGCTGCTCCGGATAACACAGAGAGATAAAAATAAACAGCCTGAAAAAGTCCCTGAAACTAACAGGGGAGTCATGTTTGCATCTGTTAGACCCTGTTATTTGTTCTATTAATGTCCGCCTCGTCTTTAACAAGTCGAAGTTGAGTCCAAAAATGTTTTGATTGATGTTTTTGTAATTATATACGAGTTAATTGAAGCTGTGCAGTTAAAAAAATAATTAAATATGTCATTTTTTCTTAAAATAAGTGCATTTTTCTTGAATTGAGGAGGAAATTGAGACACTTTGCTAATAGAACAAGACAATTTACATTTCAAATAAGAAAAAGGAATTGCATTGTGTTATTTCAAGTGAATAATATCTATTTTAATTTAATTTGAAGAGTAAAAATACTCATTCCTTTGGCAAATCCTCTGATTTACCTACTAAAATAAAGGATAAATACACTTATTTTAAGTATTTCTCACTTCTTTCTAGATCGTTTTTGCAGTACAAACAGGAGAAAAAGACTTTATCTATTTACAGAGTAATTATTTAGTTTTTAGTTTAATGATGATAACCTATAGTTTCACATTTCATCCTATAATCAGTCTGAGATCCTCTTGCACAATAGGAAGGTAGGATAGGTATAGGTGTGACTCCCAAAGCACATGACAGCAAAGTCAGCCAGAGTTAGCTGGGAGGACAGGAAGTGAATAACAACAGCAAATAGAACAAGAACAACAAGAGCACCAGGATTGAATTCAAGCTTATTTTGTAGTAAGATTAATTTTCCAACAACTTCGAAAGCAAACACCAACTGCAAAACACTGGAGTAAAAATAAATAAAAATGTTCTAAAAACTTTTTTTGTGGAGGTTAGATAAAAATATTTGCCCTAAAACTAAGCTAATTTGCAAATATGCTACGTTCAGCCCAAACGAAGCAGGAGCAGCTAAAACGCACGTGCTGCTTCATTTCTGATGTTTGTAAAAGCTTAGTTCTGACGCGCGGCTGAAGCATCTTTGCTAGCTGCGCGGTGGTAAAGTGGGTCTGATGCGTGCTGAGAAAATAAAGAACTGCTTTAGTTTTTTTGTTATTCTTTAAAACA